ACAAAAGATCGATTTTACCAAAGTGTCCCAGTGTCAGGTTTGGACCCAGAATGCTGACGCAAGGAGCTCAACAAAATAGCTTAATTTTCCAAAACAACGATGACGTGTCAGCAAAACTCGAGGATTGGTACAAGGAGGCACCAGGAATTACTGGGAGGTACGAGGAAGACCTGTCGTGGCATGGAAGCCAATAATGCTCGACTGGTGAGTAAACGAAAACTTTACAGTCGATATGGATTGAAGCTGACGACTGCAGCTGTGAATAATTGAAACAGAGAACAGGTGTAGGTGGGCGTGGCAGACTGAGTGGGGAGAAGTGACGACGACACAAAGAAAACACAAAGACTAAAATAAAGAAAACGCAAGCTACAATAAACTGAACAACACAGCTCCTGACACAAAGACTGCAAATAACAAGTAGACTGCACAATGTGATTGTATGTGGGCGGAGCTTAAAACTCCACATCCCCAATGCACAGACTCTGGTTCCAAAAATGCATCCAAGGCGGCTTTCATAGAAACTGTTCTCGCTGGCTTCAACCCCCCAACGACAAAACAAGGCAGAAACAGTTTGTTAGAATAAAGTTGATGATTTTTAAAAACAGTTGGATGTTTGCTCTCCTCTGAATTGTGACACCAGCGGAGCGCTTGTTGTCATGACTGCCAACAAATCATGTGACCCTTTTTAATTAAACGGATTTGAAACTGGACTTTTAGACGTGAATCCTGGAAATGCTTAGAGTAAATTTAAATACATAAAAATATCTAGACCCAACATTATTTTTCAGTAACACTTTATTGTGTTAATGAGTCAGCATTCTAATTTTCTGTATATTTTTGCATCCTACCGTTCTGCTTTTTCAGCTGCTTTTTTTTTTTCTCTCAATACTAACAATCAATCCCTAATGGGGAAATTAATTTTCTGAAATTTTCCCATAATGCATGTGGAGAAGAGATTTTTAGCTACAATTCTGCCACTAATTCTTCAGGTTATAGCTATATTTAGCTTTTGGTTAGCATTTGTATTTTAAGTTGTAAAGTTAGCTTTTTGCTACTTTTAGCTAGCACTTTGCTACATTTTACTTTTTTTTTTTTTTTTACTTTTGGCTTTTAGATAAACTTTTACTACTGTTTAGCTAGCCTTTTGCTACTTCTATTTTAGCTGGTGTTTATTAACTTTAGCTTTAGCAGCTTTGTTTTTTTTGCTGTTCTGCCTTTTTAAGCATTAACTCATTTTCAGCTTCTTCAGTAATACATTCTCCACTGCAATGAGACTGCATAAATTACACTTCTCTATTTAGACGTATTTTATTTCTACAAAATAAGTTTAAATGTTTTCTTTTTCTCATCTGTGAAACAGCAGACGCAACAAACCACCTCCCAGACTTGATAATTCAACTGCTGTTTACTCAGTAAATATTCTGCAGACTGGTAACCCTCCCCTCGTTTGACCTGAACCCAGGAAGAGCCTTTTTTAATTTTTTTGTAGCTGAAGAAAACCAACGGGTGTCCAAGTTGAGATGTTTCACAGCTCAGCAGGTGTCTTGGCTTGTCGTTACAAGTGCTGGGACATAACACACAGCCTGACCGATCCGTGCCTTTTGTGTTTCATATTTGGTCATCTGCAGCACCTTTTTAAACTTTTGTTGTTAAACGGATCTAAAATAGCAGCAGATGGTTTGGGTCACAGTGTGTGTGTTCCCTTTAGGAGCACGGTGACCATCAAACAGGAAGCTGGTTCATGAGGTGGACGCTTTTCTCTTGAAAGAATTTTAGTCCACTCAGATTGACCAGCGCAAGAAAACGGGCCTTTAGCTCATATTTATTCTGCAGTGAGTTCACGTAACTTATGCATGAGTATAATAAACAGGTTGATGGGAATTGTTATTTTAAGGGTATTAGAAATGTATTGCAAGACTCGCAATGTTCCACCTTTTTAAATGAAGGGAGCTGTTAGTTAGATTCACCAATATATCGAATAAATTTGGAATACATATGAAAGAAATGAGTGGGCCATTAAAATCCATGATTTTATTTTATTTTTTGCATAAGTCAGATCCTTAACGCCGCCTGTCAATCAATCCAGAAGGCTCGTCAGCAACTGACCAATCAGCGACCTCAATTTGTCCCTAAGTGAAACGCCCCTTACCAGCAGGAGCTCCACCCACTTTTTCTCCAACAACATTATCAGGGTTTTGCTTTACGAACACTGCAGTCGGAGGGATTTCGTGAAAGAAATCATAAAGAATGGTTAAATGTGGAGAACATGTAGTTCAGACAGTGTTACTCTGAGGGTTCAGAGGGTGGAATACAGTTTATTCCATTTCACAAACTAAACAAAGTTTGGGAAAAATGTAAAAGATGGACAAAGGTCTGCAGTTCACTCATGAGCAGCTGAATACAACAGTGATAAACGGGAAGTACCACACGTCCATCTGTATGAAGGTAACTGCAGGTAAATCCTCCATTTTACGTCGCATGCTTAATGATTAATCAAGCCAAGAGCCACTGTCAACACTGCGGGGGCTGAGCACCCCTGAAGGGCAGATTCTATAACCGCCCCTGCTGAGTCCTTCCCAACAAAAGCTCGGATCTCAAACATGACATCATAACCAGGTTTGACCAAAACCGTTATGAAGGAGTCATCAAAATATGTTCCAGATGTCACGCAAAACAAAAACTGGGTCTCAAAACAAAATCAGCTGATTTCTGAATAAAAATCTAAATGTTTGGCGTTATTAAAAAAAAACACACACACAAACCTAATCACAAATTGGGAGGGGGAAAAAACACTTTAATTCAGGTAGTAAATTTTACGACCACTCTCAGTGTAAAAGTGTTTGAGTCATCTGTTGGGGTTCAGCCTTCATGATGAGCCAGCAGCCTCCTTCATCATCCTCATGTGTGGTCACAGAGGTTTAACTCTTCGGCTCGATCCAGGACCTCCGATTCTCTCTGAGGTCCAGAAAACAAGAATCCACCCCGCTGAGGCTCAATGAGACATCAGATACCCATCTTATCTGTTTGGCCTGGCTGGATGTGCGTGTTAATCAGTTCCATATCTCAGTAATGGTGTTCCCGTTAATTGTCTCCCCACCTTTTATTGTAGCCGTATTCACTTTCCCTCCTGATCTCTATCTGCAAATAAGGTCAGAAAGGTGCATGGATCTAGTTTCCAGGCTCAGAACAGCCGGTGCTTGAAGAGAAAGCCTAACCGTGCCCTGAGGTATAAAAATTATTATAGCATATACCAAAAATTCAGTTTTCCCATTATTTTTAACATTACTTAAATTATATCACCCACTAAATTTCATGTCAGAGTTTTAATTGTAGCTGTTTTGGTCAAACCTTGAAAATATTCTACACAACCTCATAAGTATGTTTTGTGAATAACTATCAACTAATTAACTAACGGATTTGCACATTTATTAAGCCTTTGCGTCTTATTCTCACACAATTAGACGAGGTATCGTTGAGATGTGTGAATGGCTTCGGGGCAAGTCGGACCCTCGTCTGAGTTGGATGCAAATACGAAAGTAATACAGACACTGATTTGGTTAATCCTGTTCGGCACCATGACTGGCCTAGACTGACCTGGTGTGGAAAAACTCAGACCTGCTGCTGACACAGCATGACAGAAATTGATAAATTTATCTGACAAATGAACTATGATGCTAATATGAGTCTTTGGAAATGGAGATGCACGAATATCGGAGTTCAGCTGGGGCAAACTGTCGTCTTTTTGTTGTCTTCTGTCCCCACCGCCAATCCTTAAAGACCATGAGGAGGTCAACTGCCACTTCTTTCGAGCTTGCCTTCAGGCATTGACGAACCTGGATGTGCCCGATCATCTTAAAGGGTGAGCAGAAGGTCTAAGAGCATCCCTCAAGACTTTCCTCCTTTTTAGTTTAGTTTTGATTTTACACTCCCTGTTGCTCCTGCAGCTGGGCTGGTTCCAGACAAGAAGCTCCGTGAGGGGCTGTGGTGCCTGATGGAGCTGCAGAAGGCGGCTTGTTTTGTCTTCCTGTAAAAAAAAAAATTTATCACCATTCTCTGTTCTCTGCAAACAGATTAAACTAGTTCAATTTTTTTGTCTGTTGCCTCTGCGACATTGTAAACACCAAGTACTGAATCAGTCAGTTGTCAAAGAGCTCAAAGAAGCCGAACCCCAGATGAAAGGAGCAACAGGCTAGCCAAAGTAACTAAACAACTAGCTAAAAATTGTAAGAATAAAATAACTAGCTAAAAGGTGCAAAACAGTGAAAAGTAATGAAAGGCTAGCTAAAAGCTGTAACAAATACAGAAAAGCAAAAGTTAGCAGAACAGTAGCTACAAGCTAAAAGTTTTGAAAGGCTGGCTAAATGTAGCAAAATGATGCTAAAAATGGCAAAAGCTTAACTAAAACTAATAAACATAGCTAAAAGCTATTGTAATAAAGGGTAGCTAAAAGCAGCAGAGCCATAGCTAAAAGCTAAAAGCAGAATAGTGAATGGGACAAACTCTGCTCCCTCTAAGGACTTTATTGAATATCACAGAAGCTAAAGCACACAAACGTAACAGAGGGTTTCCTCATGCATCAGCTAACAGAAGGACAATCAGTAGATTAAAAACAGGTGTTTGTGCATCAGTGTTGCACACCAGAAAAAAACAATATTTAAAATTTGAAAAAAAAAAAAAAAAAAAAACTTTGACGTACTTTATGCAAATATACAAAGTCAAGTTAAACTTTTAAACTTAGAAAACATTTGGAGTTTGCAGGAATAGCTCAGCTTGTCACAGGTGATACAACACTGCCACCTAGTGTTGTTTTACTGAAGCACCTAAAAACACAAATCTAAAAACAGTCACTTTAAAAATAAAACTAAGGCAGTAGCTCATGTGCTGGAGTATATTTGGCCTTCCTCTCAGTATTTCATGTTTGTTGGACAGTTTTTGCTCTGAGGGCTGCTTGATGTCCCTCTTGGCTTGGACCGTCTTCCAGCTGTATCCCTGATGTGTGATCACGCTGAGGCTGTGCTGTTTCGTGCAGACTGTCTCTTTGCGGAGGCAGGGGCAGTGGAAACCTCTCTGCTCTGTGGACAGCTTATTAAATGTCGACTGGCGGCTCGTTGCAGGATCGGGAGGCAGGTGTTTGGCCTGGGCTGAAGCTGCAGGTTCTGTTTGTCAGCACTGAGACCCAGACGATCCCGAGTCGTTTGAGGACCCCACGAATCTCGCAGCCTTGCGTTCCCCTCCATGTTGATGCTGACCTCGTCGAGGCGTAACGCCCTCTGGCTGGCACCAACTCTGAGGAGGATGGCATCTCGCGTCGGAGGATGATGAGGACCTCTTCTCTTCATCTGTCCACTCGCAGCCTTCTCACTCTCGATCACTGACTGTTTGACGTTTTCACCGTTTGCTGTTAAGAAAAAAGAAAATGTTTAACTTACCACAAAAGTCAGCTGCTTTCCACATGTGAGATTTTGCAGCACCTTTTATTACTTTTATTTTTGCAACGGCCTTAATATATTATCCATTTCAGTGTTTTTTTATTTTTATACTTTTGCCAGACTCCTGAGCTTACCTTCTGTTTGAGATTTATTTGAGGTGGACAGGAAGTGAGTTTGAACAGTTTTTTGGGTTGTTGAAGTCACGTCACATTTTCCGATGGAGGTTTGAAGACATTTTCGACACAAATCCGCAGATCTGTCAGAAGCCAAACCCTCTTGAGCCACACCGTCCCCAGCACCCTCCTGCAGTGGATCAGTGTAATCCCAGAACACTTTGGAAAACTGGAAGAGCTGCACATTGACAGTGCTGTTCACTAATATACTAAAAGGAAAGAGGAACTATGGTTAGAATTATTACAGTAAACTGTAATATAACAGGAGAAGATTAGATTTGTCTCACCTGTGGTCCTGGAAGTGGAGAGACAGGATGCGGCCTGATTCAGACTCTGTCCTGATGTCCCTCAAACAATCTCCGGTGAGGAAATTAAACACACGGATCTTCCCGTCCAAACAGCCAGTAACAACACGGAGGTAAAGGAGGGTCAGAGACTTCACCTCCCTGCAGAAAAACCAGTAGACATTAAAAAAAAAAATCCCCATAGAAATATGAGATCCATTCAGTTCATGTCAAATCTGCTTCAGCAGGATTATTTTGGACTTACTTTGGGTGGTTGAACATCTTCAGACACTGTTTATCCTCACAGCTGACACTCCACGCCATGACCTTACCGGCAGAGTCCCCAGATAGAAGGTGCCAATCGTTAAGAAACAAACACTTCACCGCGCTCTTGTGGGCGTTAATCACCTTCAAAATGTATGAACAAGAAATGATGAACTGAACTCTGTTTATAAAAACCAATAAAGTAGTCCCTCGCTACTTTGCGGTTCGTTGATCGCGGACTCGCTCTATCGCGGTTTTTCAAAATAAGATTGGACATGACACACAACTGGCTGATTGATTGGATGAGCCGCACGATGGGCATGAGATTTTTATTTAAAATTATTTAAAATTATTTAGCACCCCCTGCACCTTTTGTGTAGCCCACACTGCAGGATAAACTTCCTGCTGCAGCTGATCAGCTGTTCTCCGTGCAGAGCGGAGAAGTGGGCGTGGCCAAGAGCGCTTGCAGGTGACAAAGAGCAGAGGAGGCAGGGAGCTGAAATCATGACATTCTGTGCTCTTTTAGTGTGTGTGTGTGTATATAGAGAGATAGATAAATGGAGATGGATAGAGAGATGGAGAGAGAGATAGATAAATAGAGAGGGAGATGGAGAGATGGAGAGAGAGATGGAGAGAGAGAGATGGAGAGAGAGAGATGGAGAGAGAGAGATAGCGGGAGAGATGGAGAGATAGCGAGAGAGATGGAGATAGAGATATAGAGAGGGATGGAGATAGAGATATTGAGATGGAGATATATAGAGAGATGGAGATGGAGATAGAGATATAGAGAGGGATGGAGATAGAGATATAGAGAGGGATGGAGATAGAGATATAGAGAGGGATGGAGATATAGATATAGAGAGGGATGGAGATATAGATATAGAGAGATGGAGATAGAGATATAGAGAGAGATGGAGATGGAGATATATAGAGAGAGATGGAGATGGAGATATAGAGAGAGAGATGGAGATGGAGATATATAGAGAGATGGAGATATAGATATAGATATAGAGAGAGATGGAGATAGAGATATAGATATAGATATAGAGAGAGATGGAGATATAGATATATAGAGAGATGGAGATAGAGATATAGAGAGAGATGGAGATAGAGATATAGAGAGAGATGGAGATAGAGATATAGATATACAGATGGAGATAGAGATATAGATATACAGATGGAGATATAGATAGAGATCTCACTTATCGCGGGTCTTCAGGGTACAGATCCTCTGCACTAAATGAGGGACTACTGTATATAAAATGTTTTCTATAGATCTTCTCACCCTGAGCAGTGATGCGGTCTCCATGTTCCAGAGTTTGACCTGGCCTTGAATGCAGCTGCTGCACAAGAATGACTTGTGAATCTTTACACACAGCACCGAACCGCGGTGCTTGAAATTAAAATCCTTAAAAAGGCTCCATGTTTGGATACTCCAGACTGTCAACACAACGGATCAGCTTACGTTGAGAAATGCAGAGTTAGAGCAAATCATGAAAATAACTTTGAGTATAATCTCCTGCGACACTGTATGAGCTAAATGCATCCCATTGTGCGCAACATTTGTAAATAACAGCCATTTCTGTCTTGTTCCAAGGTAAGTGGCAGCCATTTTGAATCAGGTTATCCCTAATGTTAATCCTATATAGACTAGGCCTGTCACAATAACATTTTGCTGGGAGATTGACTGTCTCAGAAATTATTTCGATAAACGATAAAACTGTTTGAAATTTGACAATAATTAGTAATTATTGTCAAATTTAAGAAATATTTAATTTGTTTTGTGTAGTACCTTTTTTCGACCAACAGATGGCAGTATTAGACTGTTTGAACCAAAGGCTGGATAGTGAGGGAGCGACCAGCGTGACTCTTTAAGAAAAATGGGAGGGAGGCCCTTTGACGTGACATGGGCTGTCTCTCTTCGGTTCTCAAAATGGCAGATGATTGTTGTAGTTTGAGCTCTTTACCATAATATTTGTCACACAAAGCTTTTAATAAAGATCAGTAAACAAGTTCTCAGCTTCTTTTTGCAGAGAAAAACAATTTTTTACACGAAGGCACGGGTTTAAACCGTGAATTTTGGAGCTTCGACTAGAAGGAAGCTTTAGCCGTAGCTTAGCTTTTCAGCTTAGCTTCTCAGCTTAGCTGCTTTTAATGATCCAAAAAACGCAATTTTGGACGATGTTGAAATGGATTTTAAGGATAAAAGAGAAAAGGAGGGGTCAGTGAAGAGCACCGGAGTTGAGCTTTTTGTCATCCAGTGTCTTCAGTAGAAAGAGAGACGCGAAGAAACAATAAAGCCGATGAACGAAAATGAGGTAGATACTTTTCATTTATCGTGCGATTAAATGATGTATTGTTTATCATGACAGGCCTATATATAGACATCCATCCAATGGTTAAAACATTATCACCCACCTGTCACTTACCTTTAACAGTATGATCTTTGGCTCCTGAGACGAGTTTGTCAGCATGAACGTCGAGGCAGTTGATGGTACCAGTGTGACCATAGAGCACCTTCTCACACCTGTCTGTCTGCAAATTCCAACACCTGCAGAGACGAGACAAAAAAAACAGTTTTCACTCTGCGTGCATTCCTTTAATTAATCAAGTCGCAGCTTTTATCTAACCTGATGCATGCGTCATAACCTGCAGTTATGAGCAGACCTCTATCCTCACAGAACTGCACCGCCCGAATCACGCCGTGTCCTCTCACCACCGCCACGGGCTTTGTTTCTGGTGCCACACAAAGCAGGCGAAGCAAACGGTCCTTTGAAGTCGTGGCCATCAGAAATCCACCTCTGTAGTCCAACACCCGGTGCTGGTATTCTCTGCAGAGCGTAAACAAACTGGATCAGTAAGTGGATGCTTCTCATGGTCATGTTCTGCTGTGGACTGCAGGGAGTGTGCTCACTCTTTCAGCAGCACTTTGGTGAAATATGCACCACAGTAAACATTTCGCTCCTCCATTTGAACGGGCTTGGTTTGGATTTTGGCATGGGCAGCTTTAAATGACTTCATCTGCAAAACCAATAAGAAAAGACGATTATATTGATTATCTCTGGCACACAAGCTGATTATTTATAGAGCAGCTAAACTGGATGTTAAACCTTCTGGACGGCTGGATGAACTTCGTCTTTCTCATCACCGTTTATAGGTACTGAGACTTCCACCATGTTGGCATAAGTAGGGCTGAGGACATTAACACTATGGAACACCTAGTTGAGACAGAAAATAACTAAAGGAAAATACAGTGTGACACAGACAGCTGAACGTCAGCTGAAATTTTCTGTAGAAGCTGGAAATAATCAAACGCTAGCTGTAAGCTAAAATAAACCGAATCTTGTGAAAATCTAACAAAAGGAAAATTATTCCTAAAAGCTAAATACTATAAAAAGCAAACTAAAAGTAACATAATGATGGCTAAATACTTTAAGTAAAATAAAAAAAAATGCTAAAAACTACAATCAGCAGAATGGTAGTTAAAGCTAAAAGTAGCAACAGGCTAGCTAATGTACCATTATTGTTGCTAAAAGTAGCAAAAGGCTAGCCAAGAGCTAAAAGTAGCAGAATGGTAGCTGAAATTTAAGACTAACTAAAAACTAAAAGTTGTGGAATGGTAGCTGTAAGCTTAAAGTAGCAAAAATCTAGCTAAAAGCTAAAACTAGCTGAATGGAAGGTAAAAGTAAAAAGTAGCAGGACTGTAACAAATAGTAAAGGTAATAGAATAGTAGCTAAATGCTAATAATAGAAGGATTGTAGCTAGAAGATAAAAGTGGAAAAAGGTTATCAAGAGCTAAAAGCAGCAAAAGGTTAACTAAGAGCTAAAAGTAGCATAATGGAAACTAAAAGAGCAAAAACGATAGCTAAAAACTAAAAATTGCAGAATGGTAGCTGGATGCTTAACATAGAAAATGAGTAACTAAAACTAACCAAACAGCAGGTAAAAGCTAACAGTAGCAGTACAGAGGCTTAAAACTAAATTAAGCAAAAGGTTAGCTAAAAGCTAAAATTAACAGAATGGTAACTACAAGTTTAAAGTAACTAATAAGTAGCTACAATCTTTAGGTAGTAAGAGGACAAAAAACAAAGTAAATATTCTGAAATGGTTTTCAAAAAGATAAATGTTTTTAAAGGAATTCAGAGATCTTGAGGGGGAAACTGTCAATAAAGTTAAATATTCTTATTTAAGTATAAAATTTACAAAAACTAACAGCTGTAGCATCCATCTCCTGAATGAGCTAAAAGTATGTGGAGGTAGACAAATGGAAAAAAAAAAAAAAGTGTTTAAAATAAATCAGGGAAAGAGTTGTGTCAAAAAAGATCAATTCAGTTTCACATTTCACAACATTCAAAAAGCTGAGATTTTATATTCAACAACAAAAACATTTCTAGAATTTACTGACATGAGTAAAGAGGAATTATAAAATGTCTTAACCTTCAATATGACATCATCTTGATCCTTAAAACTTCTTCTGAACCTGATTTCCTCCATGGTTTCCTCTGTAAGGTGCTGCCAGTACCAACAAACCTTCTTGCAGCGTTTCAGAGTGTGCTCCCCCAACAGACCTGGAATAAAACGTCTCATGATGGTTCACAGGATAGAAGCACGATGAGCATCAAACCATGAGTCTCAGTAACAACAGACGAGACTAAACACAAGACCCTGAGATGTGACACTCAGAGTATGTGTTATGAAAGACTCAGCTACAACCACAACAAATTTTAGCTCAGATTTGTGCTTTCTAAGGTCTGTGACGGCCTTCTCCAAAAGTGAAATTGTAAACTTGGTAAACTTGCCTAAAATCCTCTTGGCCAAATTTACAGGTAAGCAGCTAACAAAGTCTCGATGTTGACTGACACCCGACATGGACTTTGAGGCTCCAGGTACCACCATGAGGGCAGGGTCTTCTGGGTCCTGTTGTCCATTGAAATTCTGGTTGCTCACTGGAGGAAGAAGCATGTGATTACTGGGCTGACATTATAGTAAAAAAAAAAAAGGCTATAATTAAATTTGTAGTACAAAAAGTAAAATGTCAAGTTTGCTATTACAGTGCTGTATTATTATTGTAAATTAATTATATGTTAAACTGAAAATTAAACTGGGTTTCTTTTTCAGAAACAGATCCTGTCTAACCCTGAATGCTAGAAAACGCCTTGTATCTGTGACTTTCCTTCCCTCAATTGATTTTGGTGATATTATTTACATGAACGCTCCTACAAGAACCCTGCAGATGTTGGATGCTGTCTATCATGGTGCACTAAGATTCATAACTGGCTGTGATTATCGTACCCACCACTGCACCCTGTATTCATTGGTTAACTGGACATCATTAACTTCACGCAGACTCTCTCACTGGTACATTTTCATCTTTAAATCACTTCTTGGTCTGCTGCCTTCATACATCTCCTCCTACATGTCTCTGCGTGAGTGCAGCTACGGAGTGCGCTCTCAGGACATTATTACCTGCAGTGTTCCCTCAGTGAGGACTGAACTAGGCAAAAGGGCCTTCTCCTACTCCGCTCCTGTTTCCTGGAATATCTTACAAAAAGATTTGAAGCTCTCGACCTTGACCTCTCTAAGTGGCTTTAAGAATCTGTTGGACTCCTGGCAGGGACCAATGCAGACATGTTCCTGTTTTTAGTTTTATACATTTGTCTCGGAATCTAGCAGTTTTTTTTGGTTTTGTTACCTTTTTCCTTTTAGCCATCCTATTTGTAAAAAAAAAAAAAAAAAAAAAAAAAAAAAAAAACTGTAGTATGAGTTTTTATAACTGCTTATTGTTGTTGCTGTTGTCCATTGTTGTCATCTTTCTTTGTTGAAATCAGGTCTCTCTTGTAAATGAGTCCTCGAGGCTCAATGGGATTTACCTGTATAAATAAAGGTTGATTGATATGTGTGGCTCGCGACCTCTAGTGGACGATTGTGAGAATGCAGTCGCTTCCTAAATATTTTGAATTTAATTGAGTTTATTTAATAAAAAAAACAAAATGCACACACATAGAACATTCACTAAAAATACTTGGAAAATACAAGGAATGAAAGCACTTTATTCTCTTGTCTTTTAATTGGTGGTCTTACCATTAAACTGCAAATACCCTCGTTTCAGCCTGACTAGAAGGACGCTGGTCAAGTTGGTGAGCATGCGCAGTAGTTCAAAGTCGCACATGGACAATAAACAGCAGAGGTAGTTTGTTTTCATCCAGTCCGGGCTGCTGTTGAACCAGCGCAGGATCGCATCCGTATCGACGCAGAGAGGTTTCCGGTCCTTCTGGCACCGAGAGCCGGAGTCCCGCGGAGACCTCCCCGACCTGGCGTAGGTGCACCACGGCCACGACGTTCCACTCAGCGACTTCTGGATGTTCTCCAGCTGTTTGACGTTTCTGCAGCGCGAGAGCAACGCCACCACGAACCTCCTCTCGAACTCGTCCGACACTGTCCACAAACGCCTCGCGGCGGAACCCGGTGGTTTCGGCGCAAAGACGCATCGTGGACACATCCCGCACACGTGGACGCAACTAGCATCCTGTCCGCGAACTTTAGCAGAGTCCATACTTGTTGTACCACAAGCAGTTTGTTACCGTTATTAGTGTTGGTGTTCTCGTTGCCTGGCAACAAGCCAAATACTCTTCTTCCAAAACTTTTCTTTAGAGTTTTGAGATTTTTGACTTGAGCAAGTAAGCTTCAGCAACAAACTTGCTGAAGTCAGTGTAGTTTAAGTGGTGTAGTTCATTAACGTGTAAGAAAATAAAAATTAAAAAGATAATGCGCCGCCCGGGAATCGAACCCGGGTCGCAAGAATGGGAATCTTGCATGATACCACTACACCAGCGGCGCTTTCGTACAGAACATTGGAGAAGGCAATATTTATTAAAATATTGTAGACGAAATAGTTTTTAGGATTTAAATGTATAGTAGATATTAAATGTTATTTGGTTAATTTTATATTTTAAACAAAGAATGGGGTTAAAACGAGAAAATGTGCGTTACCGCTTTGAGGGGAAACAACCCGGCCTCATACCGGAAGAGACCTTTTTTTTTACTTCCGGAGAAAATTCCGCCGCGATGGAATCCCGCGTATGCTAATAGCTAAGTAATTTTGTTTTAAACAACAGTGTAAGAAAATTATAATTAATAGTTTTGAATCGACAGATATACAAAGGTATGTTGTTCTTATTCTATGTAAGAAAGTTTTAACTAGAAGCTCAAGTTTTATGAGTTGGACCGATATTATTTTTATTTAGCAATTTCAAGCTAGCTACCATTGTGTTGTGAATGTACGCGGCATGTTTTCGTCTTAACAGACAAATAGTTATTCTTCCAACTGATTTATATCGTATCTAGGACATCTGTGTTGCAAAAATGTTCATCAGCTAAATGGATTTCTACGTCTAAGCCATTTTAGCATGCTAACGTGTATCTTCCCCCTTCGTTTTTTTGTAAAACATACTCTTATTTACAACCGTTTCCCGCAGAGGGTTGACTCATGTCGGGCAGGGACAGCGACGTTGTGTGGGTTGAGACAACCGAGGAGGTTGTCGAAATAAAAGGGCCCCTCTCTCTAAAGAAAATCATCCCAACAGGTACAGTCAGTGCTTTGGTAATCTGTTTTTTGTACCAGAGGAATTAAGTGTTTGCCTGCAGGTTTTAAAACTGTGTCTTCTTCAGATCCTATAGTAGTGGTGTCAGATTTAGAGCCACCAGAAGCATCGATCCAGAAGCTGCTGAACACTGTGGGGCAGGAACAAACTCCAGATGGTTATAATTGCTTCTGTAAGTAAGAATATGTTCCTATGGTTTACACAATACTTAAATACACTGCTTAAAGTGACTGGAAGCTTGCGTGTCTATTTTCTGTCCATCCTCAAACCTACATCTTAAAGATTCTAAAAAAGGTTTTCAGTTTCCTCTGGATGTTCAAAAACCAAACAAAAAATTGTAGAAACGTTTTGTCTTTCATCAGTCTGATGATACATCTTAAAGATTGTTTTGTTTGTGTGAACCAATTTTTTATACATCCCATTAGGGATGGGGCCGATCCGCTATCAGGCTCCGATATCGGCGTAATTTATGTATCGGATTTTTCCGATCCAACCTGCAGAGGTTTCTGATCCATCATGCATGTCTGTGTCTGCTGAAATTTCTCATGTGATTCCTGCCAGCTGCTCTGCAGGTTGACTTCAAACTTCTTTCTTCTTCTTTCGGCTTTTCCCTCTTCAGGGGTCGCCACAGCGAGTCATCCTCCTCCACCTCACTCTGTCCTCTACATCCTCTGTCCTCAACTACCTCCATGTCCTCTCTAACTGCATCCATTTATCTCCTCTTTGTCTTTTTCCTGGCAGCTGCATTTCTAACATCCTTCTACCAATATACCCACGGTCCCTCCTCTGGACATGTCCAAACCATCTCAGTCTGTCCTCCCTAACTTTATCTCCCAGTTGTTCAACCTGTGCTGTACCTCTGATGATCTCATTCCTAATCTTATCCATTCTTGTCACTCCAAAGGAGAACCTCAACATCTTCATTTCTGCCACTTCCAGTTCTGTCTCATGTCTTTTTGTCCATGTCTCTGTCTCCAGACCAGACAACATAGCTGGTCTCACCACTGTCTTGTAAACTTTTCCTTTGACCTTTGCTGACACCCTTTTGTCACAAATCACTCCTGAAACTTCTCCATCCACTCCATCCTGCCTGGACTCTCTTTTTCACCTCTACCATATTCTACATTTTCCTGGACAGTGGACCCCAAGTACTTGAAGTCCTGCACCTTTGACCTCTGCTCCTTGTAGCCTCACTGTTCCACCAGCCTCCCTCTCATTCACACACACACTCTGTCTTACTACGGCTAACTTTCATTCCTCTTCTTTCAAGTGCATTCCTCCACGTCTCCAAGTTCTCTTCCACCTGTTTCCTGTTCTCACCACAGATCACAATGTCATCTGCAAACATCATAGTCCACGGGGATTCCTGCCTGACCTCATCTGTTAGTCGGTCCATCACCAGAGCAAACAAGAAGGGGCTCAGAGCAGATCCTTGATGCACTCCCACCTCCACCTTGAAGCTATCTGTCACTCCTACAGCACATCTCATCACTGTCCTGCTGTCCTCATACATGTCCTGTACCAGTCTAACATACTTCTCTGTCACTCCAGATTTCCTCATGCAATACCACACCTCCTCCCTCGGCACCCTGTCATATGCTTTTTCTAAATCCACAAAGACAATGGAGTTCTTTCTGACCCTCTCTGTACTTCATCAGCATCCTCGAAGCAAAGATGGCGTCTGTGGTGCTCTTTCTCAGCATGAAACCATACTGCTGCTCACAGATAGTCACCTCTCGTCCAAGTCTAACTTCCACTATTCTCTCTCTCTCTCAGATCTTCATCGTGTGACTCATTAACTTAACTCCCCTGTAGTTGCTACAACTCTGTACATCACCCTTGTTCTTAAAAATGGGCACCAGCACACTTCTCCAGTCTCCCTCAAATATGCCATTGAATATTTGAGTCAAGAACCTCACTGTCTTCTCTCCAAGTCATTTCCAAACCTCCACTGGGATGTCATCACTTCCTACTGCCGTCCTCTTCTTCATTATTTTCAGAGCTTTCCAGACTTCACCCTCACTAATCTTTCCTACTTCCTGGTCCACAGTTTCTATGACTCCTACTAAATTTTATATATTTTTTCTATTTTATTTAAAATATTTTCATATTTTGTAATTTCTCCAAATGATCGAGTGAATTGTTTGAGTTTCGTTGTCGATTCTAGGCACGTGTCAGAGAAACTGTTTTTTTCTGACTGTGACTATTAACTACTATGTTATGTTAAAAATACTCTCGATCTTACAGA